GATTTGAAACTATCGGTGTAAAATGCTGTGTGTCTCGCATGTTTTGCCTGAATTGCTAGAAATTCTTGCAGTATATGCTCATTCGGGGTTTCCTTTTTTTGAAATTGAGTCAGCGTGAAGTCGCACACAGAGGGGAGGCAGTACCAAGGAGGGAGTGCATTGGGTCTTTGAGCAATCAGCGGCAACGTGTCCTTTATATTTAAATCTTGGCACATCTCTTCAAATCTGAGGAGGGGCGGCCTAATTGCTTGGTGTATGTTAATAAATAATGTTCTGGATGGGCACTGATTTACTACAGCGTGGCAAGGGTGGTTGGGCATTGATCTAATCTTTAGAACGTATGAGCATGTGAGCATGATTATTCTGTCTCCCAGTGGTGGTTCATTTGCTTCTACATACAGACTTTTTACTAGTGGCGTCCTAAATGCACCGGTTTCGAGGTGCAGACCTTGGTTGTGTACCGGGACCAGCTGTTTCAGATAAGATTTTCTCGCTGATCCATATACTATACTTCCATAATCTAGGCAGGATCGTACAAGAGAGCGGTAAATTTGTAGAAGGCCTGTACTATCTGAACCCCAGCGTTTGCGTGACAAAATCTTCAGTATGTTCTGAGATTGGGATGCTTTTTTCTTTAACGCTTTTATGTGTGGAAGGAATGTAAGCCTTTTATCAAATACTATACCCAAAAACTTATGTTCTTTATTTACTGGTAGTTCGGTTTGATTTAGGGGTAAGGTAGGGTCTGTCTGTATGCTTCGTTTGAGAGAGAAGAGAATGGCCATGGTTTTTTGTGCAGAAAAGCGGAAACCATTTCTGTCTGCCCATGTTGTTAGTTTCGCTAACTGCACTTGTCTTTCACATGTCGATGTGTTGCAAGATGTGATAGCTATTTGGAGGTCGTCAACGTAGAGTGAGTAAATGATAGACTTGGGTATTACTTTGCTGATCGAGTTCATTTTTATGACAAATAGGGTTGTGCTTAGAATGCACCCTTGTGGTACTCCATTTTCTTGAGTGAAACTTTTCGATAGTGTTGAACCTAGGCGTACCTGGAAAGAACGGTTAGATAGGGATTCTTTGAGGCAGTTCAACATCCTTCCGCGGATTCCTAGCTCATCCAGATCCTGGAGGATTCCGAACCTACACGTAGTGTCGTATGCTCTTTCTAATTCAAAAAAGACGGCCAGACAATTTTGTTTGTGTACGAAGGCTTCACGGACGGTGTGTTTGAGTCGTGCTAGGTGATCGGATGTGCAGCATAATTTTTTAAAACCGCACTGATGAATATCGAGGAGTTTGCGTGATTTTAAGACGAATGACAGTCTGATATTAACAACACTTTCGAAGGACTTTGCGAGACAGCTGGTGAGAGCTATCGGTTTGTAGCTACTAGCACTGGTTGGTGGCTTTCCCGGTTTCAAAAAAGGGATGATGATGACCTTCTTCCAGGCCTCAGGTAATTTTTTAGATATCTAAACTTGGTTGAATGATGTTAAAAGTATTTCCACGGCGCGTTCGGAGAGATGGGCTAACATTTCGTAGTGTATCTCGTCGGGTCCCGGTGCTGTTTTCTTGCCTGCTGTCAATACTGTGCGTATTTCTTGATAAGTAATTAAGCAGTTGTATGGTTCGTTTATGTTCCCACTTGTTGGAAGTCTTTGTTTTTCTGCTGCATGTTTGTGTTTAAGAAATGATTGTGTATAATGTGACGAGCTGGAAACAGCACAGAAGAATTCACCTAGAATATTCGCCTGTTCTTCAATACTTGTCTGTACGCCAGGAGGCGTCAGCAACGGTACAGTGAACGGAGAAAACTTGCCGTCTATCTTTCGGACCCGTTCCCACATTTCCTTTGATGTGGTGCTGTTTATGGAGGAGATCTACTTTTGCCACGATGCTTTTTCAGCATTGCGACGGATGTACCTGGCCTTGGGACTAGCTTTTTTAAAACTTACAAAGTTTTCCTGTGTTGGGTACCTGCGAAAGGTCTCCCAGGCTTTATTTTGCTTCATTTTAGCTTCTCTGCATTCGTATGTATACCATGTTTTGCGATTTTCTTTTGCGAGTCCGGATGTCTGAGGGATAGATAGCCGGGCAGCTGTTACGATGCAGTTTGTAATACATTCGTTTTGTTCATCTATGTTGAGGCCTTCTGTCTAGTTTTTCCAGGCAAGCCTTTTCTTGGAATAGGACCCAGTTGGCTAAATGTAGCTTCCAACGTTGTGGTTTTTGTTGAATGACTTGAGGTGTTGTTGTTTGGCTGATTAGTATGGGCAGATGGTCGCTTCCATATAGGTCGTTTAGTACATCCCACTTAAAATCCATAAAAACAGATAGTGAACAAAATTATAAGTCTATTCAGCTCATTTTTCTTGAGCTAGGAGAGCAGTAGGTTGCTTTTCCTGTATTAAGTGGGATATGTTATTGCTCAATAAAAAATATTCAATGATTTGGCCTCTAGTGTCAGTTTTTTTCACAACCCCAAAACACGGAGTGTGCATTAAAATCTCCAACCACCAAAAATGGCTCTGGCAGCTGTTCTATAAAGTGTTCTAAATCAGAAATGGATATTTTAAGATGTGGCTCCAAGTATGCGCTGCACAATGTAATCGATTTAAATGTATGTATGGTGGCCACCACGGCTTCTATTCTGGTTGTAAGTTTGTGTTCTCGCGCTGTTATTCCGCTCTTGACTATATTTGCAACACCACCTGAGAGCCTACTTGCCTGCTCTCGGTCGTGCCGGAATACACTGTAGTTTTTCAAGATGTTTCTATGTTCAGGACCTACATTAGTTTCTTGGAAACACAAAGCTACTGGTGAGAAAGTGGCTCGTATGTCCTTTATGTCGTTTAAGTTATGTAGGAGTACCCTACAGTTCCAGTGTATAAAAGCCATGTTGTATGTTACGGGTAGTGTAAAACTTGAGTTTTGTTATCAGGCCTAGTGATTCTGGGCTTGTCTTTTTTCCCATCTAAGGAGTCCCGCCGTCTTTCTAACGTCGACGGTCCAGGACTACCCTGACTTGTGTCCATCGCATCGCCTGATACGATGGACGGCCGTCCTGATTGTACGGATTTTTTCTCGTTTAGGCTCGCCGCATGAAGAGAGGCTTTGAGGCTCGCTGACCCTAGGGTTCGCACAGCCTGAGTTGGAGGTAGTGGTGCAGCGGGAGCTGCGTCCACTTTGGGCGCTGGGTGCCCTGCCCTGACGTCACTAGGTGTGCCCTGGGCAGGCTCTGAAGGCCGCTGTGTTGCCGCACCCTGTTGCAACACAACGGAGTAGTTTCTGCTTTCCATCAACGAAAGACGCTTCCGCGCTTCTGTGAAGCTGATGTTTTTCTTAACTCTAAGAGTAACAATGCTTTTTTCTTGTTTCCATATTGGGCAAGCACGCGAGTACGCAGGATGACTACCCTCGCAGTTCACTCTGCGGTGTGGTTCGACTTCGCAATTTTTAGAAGTGTGTTTGTGAGAGGCACACTTAGCACATGTGTTTGGCCTCTGCAGCTCTGTGAGCCGTGGCCGTATCGTTGACATTTAAAGCATCGTCGCGGGTTTGGTATGTATGAGCGTAGTTTGAGTTTGGTGTATCCAACCTCCACAGTTTATGGTAGTATGCTCGATGCGAAAGTGAGAACGAAGTGCTTTGTTTGTATTTCCTTTTTTTCTCGTTTGATTTTATTCTATACAGATTTGTGACGTTTTGGACCTTCAGTCCATCCAGGAGTTCTTCTTCACTTACATATTTGAGGTCATCATCAGAAATGACGCCTCGGACAGTGTTTAGTGATCGGTGAGTTGTAATACACACCGGAATGTCTTCGAACGCAGTGAGTTATTTTTGAAAGGTTCTCATACTGGTGCTTGTACAGTACTTCCAAAAGAAGGTCATCGTTGGCTAGTTTCTTGATTTTACACCCTTGCCCTAAGGTGTCGGTTAGGGTTCTGGATACTTTGAAAAGGGACACATGTCTCGCTGTTCTTTCTGCGTGCTCGCTGTGAATAACATGAAATCTTGGGAATGTGCATTGGTTGTTAGTGAAAAATTTTGATGTTACATCGGTGCGCGTCCTCTTTTGAGGGTGGCGATCAGGTTAAAAGACTGGAGAGTCCATCTAGTTTGTGTGTGCTTCAGCAGCAGTAGCAGCCGCCCAGCATGGAGCCCAACGAGGGGACGGGACAGGGTCTCACGAGCAAGACCTGCCCACGCCAGCTTTATACCACGACTATAACCGAATATGGCTTAACTCAGGGTGGTTAGCCACACAAGGTTAACCCTTGCCGCCAGAGAACAAGGAAGCAAATAGAAGAGAGGAGTAGACAGGACAGACAAAAATTGGGGGGAAAGACGAAGATGTAGGGAGAGAGAGATAGAAAAGGCGAATGCCCATTTCCCTTGGGTGGGTCAGCCCAGGAGTGCCGTCTACGTGAAGTCGGGGCCAAAGGGGTGTGTTGCCTCTGGCGGGGGGCCTTAAAGGTCCATGCACCCGGCGTCGGCTCAACCCCTAGGATTCCCTTTTCCCCGGACACAACAAAGCCACGCACGGCTAGGCGTGGGAGGGAGTCGAAACCCCCCCATTAGCTCGGGTTCGTGGTGTCGCTACACACCAAACGCCTGCTTGCACAGGCGCCCCTGCGGGAATGGGACTCATAGCCTTCGGAAGGTTGCTGAACAGGATCAACACATCGGGTGAGATGAAAGAGAAGAAGGCGTTCGCCTTTCAGTCGAATTAATCGAAGTTTGAACTTTTTTTCCATAATTTTTAATACTAACCGGTCCTTGGCCAATACCGGCTGTGGGCATGAGCCACAGTTTATCGAGTCCTCTCTACTCTACTTAGGTGAGTACATTAGAGGCCCTGTGGAGTTTTTCCTTCGCAAGTAGTTCTTAGGTAATGTCACTAGCATATCGCGGTGCTACAGGAATTGCCAATATTCAAGTAATGGGGTGAATGAATCATTGTTCTGCATCAATTGTTTCTTTTTTAATAAAAGGTCCCGACTCTTCGTCCAGTAGTAATGTGCCTACTGAGAAACACGAAGTGCATTGACCAAAAGTACATGAAGCTGCTGGTCAGTGACAAGTCGCTCTACCGAGAATGCGACATTGAGGTAAGCAACTTTCAAGTATTCTGACTATTACCCGTTGAATCGCTCGGGCCGAGTTCGCACTAGTGTGTGTTCGTCCGAGAAGTGCATTACGAGTGCTTTAATACAACTGAGCAGTGCCTCGACTAAAAACTACACCATAACGGCAACCACAAGGTTCTCGCATCATTTGATTTGGCGTCGTCTGCAAGATGCTAACAGGAAAACTATAGAAGTATCATCACCGCGGTCGTGAAAGCGTTGCTTCAAAGCGAGAAAAAGTCAGAGAATGAAAGGCAGAGCATGTAGCCGGTGTATGTAAATCATCTACTTGCTACTCTTCTATAAAGGAGGGGGATTGGGGATGAAAAGACTGGAAGAGAGGTACGTAGAAAAAATATAATATGCTAAAATGGAGAAAAGGAAAAATTAAACACCCATACCGAGTTTTTTGTCTCTTTGGCGGGTACGTGTGCTAACAGTGGCTTATTACGCGTTTTTAGGGTGCCACTACAGCTTTTCGAGCTGACCGATACTCCTTAAATATCACAATAGTAGTTTCATCGCATGCATCTGTTACGTGAAGCCGTTCAAAGGGCCGAAGACACAGTCAATTGTTAAAGTCGTTCGGGTTAGCAAACGCATGCAATGTTCGTAGAACGCACGCTCGGCACCCTCGGCTGCTGACCCGCAGGTCGCGGGATCGAATCACGGCTGCGGCGGCTGCATTTTCGATGGAGGCGAAAATGCTGCAGGCCTGTGAGCTCAGATGTGGGTGCACGTTAAGGAACCCCAGGTGGTCCCAATTTCCGAAGTCCTCCACTACGGCGTCTCTCATAACCATATGACGGTTTTGAGACGTTAAACCCCACATATCAATCGATCGTACTCTCGGCACCAACTGTTTCCTTGAGTGGAGCACTTTATACCACTCGCAACCCTAAATACGACGAACCTGAAATTTCTGTCCAGGTGAGACGTCAAATCTGGCTCGACAACAAGGAGCTCTTCGCCGAAGAAGTGCTCCCCTTGCTCTCGGAGTACGTGAGCGAGAGAGAAGAAGCCCTGTGGGGGCTGACGGTGACGGCCGAGTCGCCCTTCGCCTTCTTCAAGCCGACGCCCAAGCAGCGGCGCCAGAGGGGCATGTTGCAGCGCCTCTTGGCCATGGTGAACCGTAACCTGGTGCTGTACGACATGCTGGTGGATATCCTTCGTGCCGCGTTCCGACGAACGCGCAACGTCCACTACTGCACTCTGCGCGTCGAGCTGCTCATGGCGTTGCACGATTTGGAGGTCAGTGATACCGCTTCAACAGCGGATCTGTTCTAAAGTGCCGTGTCCGACGACGAATGCGCGTCCGCGCCACCATGTTAGAGTTTCTCGATACACCCATAGATGGCACAACTGCCTTGGCCACTGACACTCGTTTTTATTCCGAGCATATGCCCTTGAGCTGGTTTTAATAATACATGTATAGCGTAAAAATAAAAATCAATGGCTTTAGCATAAGCTTCATACTGGCACGCGTGTTTGTTGTCTGATTTGGGCGTATTCGTGTTTCACCCACACGCAAAAAAAATTATTATCATTGCTTAGCGCAGACTATGCTGTAATGTCGGATAACCTGCACGATTGTTTGAGCTCCTGTTAGGATCACGCGTGGGACACGAACACTAGAGTTTATTCTAGAGCTTATGCGAGTATGTGGGATAAGGCTCGCATGTTCGATGCCGCATAAATGCAATCCGCCCCGCCTCACCGCGGATCAGTTTATCGACGGCTGGCTCTCTGTTCGCAGCTGTCAGCGTACAGCGTGTATTGCAATAGTTTGGCTTCCGTCTGCCGAGCACAGGTTGGCCTGAACAGAGAATATCGTCTTTAATACACCGACAGGCTGTCTTCGTGAACGTTACGACCACGTGATAATATCATAGATGCTTGTGATATCGGAACGTAACTTGATATAGGAGTATTTTTTATATTTATCTAATACTGCCCACACGTAGGTCCAAGGAGGAAGGGCAATAAAAATGAAACATAGATCGAACACGTTTAGAAGGGCCAATTACCTGCAATTCTAATTATTTAAAAGAAACTATCTAGGCTCATTGAAAAATTGTGAGCGGCTAGAATCTTTGCGGCACCTGGCGGAACGAATCTAAACAACGCGCTTCTTCCTGCGAGGTCTTTGAGATCCACTTTGTGACGAAACATGAATTGAGGAATACATCATGACACATGAATGCTGAGGTGCGATGCCACTATCATACACACCTAATCCAAGGATTAAGGGAGCCTCCAGAATTTTACTCGTCTTTGTTATCGGCGCAGCGAATGTTTTTCACATTGTGTGATTGCTGGTGATCTATACAACCCTCATATACTTTATAATGCAGGCACAAGAAATCACAGCCGTAGACCGCACCCACAAGTTCACGTGGTGCTTAGATGCTTGCATCCGGGAGAAGAACATGGACGAGAAACGGTGCCGTGAGCTGCAATCCATCCTTGAAGTCAAGCGCGGTCAAGAGGAACTGCTTTGGTAAGCACAACGCATCAGCCACCACAATGCTGTCTGACACGGAAGTTTTTAAATACGCTATAGTTTCTCTCGCGGCACTTTAAACGAATATGTTTTGGTCTTTTCTTTTTCATCTGTGTCCGGCTGTCACACAATTCAGTCACCCTGCCAAAGTTTAAGGATATCCAGCCATCTCAAACTGGTGGCTGCGTTCATGCTTGTGAACATTGTAGATCGAAAAAGCAGATATTACGCATATCAAAGGCGCAACATCAATACGCAATTATCGGGTTTAGTTTGGTTTGGGAAAACTTTATTCTCGAAAATACCAAGACGTGCGTGCTAGCACATGGCGGATTGCTCCCACGACGGGACAGTAAGGCCGAGACCTATCGTGGCATCGTGGGCCCACTGGACAGCCCAAAGTTGTGATTTTACGTCCAGAATTCTCAGAGCGGAGTCCCATGTGCTGGACGATGCTGTATCAGTGCCGCGCACCGAGGGCCACTCCCAGAGCATGTGGTGTAAGACGGCTAAACGGCCACATTTCGTACACGAATTATTTAAATAACCGCCGAATAAAGCTTGTGGAGAGAGGCATGGTTAGGGTACGTCTTCGTTTGAAGTAATCGAAGTGTCAGCACATGCACTCTATTTAGCTTTCTATGTGGAGGTGGAAAGTTTCTCCTATTCATAGAGAAATGCTGGGTGATTTCATCGCATGTAGTTGGCGGATCCCTGTTTACCAAATCTCCAGATCGACCCAGAGGTACTCCGTGGCCACGGACAGTTGATGTGTTTCTTTACTGGAAAATACATGGATACGTAATTCTAAAGACCCTATAGTGTTTCATAGGCTGCGCTGAAACTGCGACGTTATGCACTGAATTAGGCCGGCCGAAGACTATCGTTTTTCGACGACATTTGCAGCATAGCGCGCAGATACGCGGCTAATATTTTTGTAAGTATAGTCGGGTACAACTTCAAAATTCTGTGGCATTGTCTTCTCCAAGGGGGATGTACACAAGCTTGACCCAATCGGCGCACCCTCCTGACTGACGTCATGAGCAGGGCGGCCGGTAACCCCTCCTTCGGAGAACATGATCGGGACTATTTCTTTACTGGCGGAGGTGATCGACTGACGCGCTTCGGTTACCTGGGCGGGGCTGCTCCGGAATTCTTAAGTTGTGCCCGACTATGGTGTGGACCTGGTACTTTTCAGGCATGGTATTTTACTATAGTGCACCTGTGCAGTTGAAGAAAACTTGGCAAGTGTTCAATCAATCAATCAACCATATTAAGCGATCGGTCCCAACCGGACGCTCTTATGCGCTGGCACCCAATACTTTATAACGGACTTTGTGTGTACTCGTAAGCATTGCTCACGAGGGGTACCCTTTCGACTGCACATGAATAGTAAGCAAACAAAAAATTAAAGAAGTAACAGGATTGATTGGTGCACGTCCATTAAGTTTGCTCGTGCTGTGCTATTGGACACGGAGCTGAACTATTCAAAATAGGTTGGTGGTTTCTTTCTACAATTTGTCTTTTACATAGCGCAAAAGAACTATGAACACGAGTTACACATGCTCCCGTATCATTGCACAACGTAAAGCGACGAACGCCTCATGAGGCTGTTTAAAATGAGGTCGATCAAGTACGAATATACACACAATGTAAAAAAGATACAAATACCAACTAATTTATTTAACGTTTCAGCGATCTTGCCTTGGCACTCTGTGACCCGTATGCCATCAACTTTCTCGGCCACTCGGCGGTAAAGGCCATGATTCACCTCGTTAACCTTGAAGCTATGCCGAGGGTCAGGGTAAGAATGATTTTTAAAATCTCCATCATCATCATCATCATCATCATCATCACTACGTCCACTGCATGACAAAGGCATCTCCCATGATCCGCCAGTCAACTGGGTTATGTGCTTGCTGCTGCCATTGTGTACCCGCAAACTTCTATAATCTCATCGGCCCACCTAACTTTCTGTCTCCCCTTCGTGCGTTTGCCTTCTTTAGGAATCCAGTCACAGTTACCCTTAAGGATCAATGGTCATCCTGCCTACGTGCCCAGCCCATGTCCAGTTCTTCTTGATTTAAACTTTGATATCCTTAAACCTGGTTTGTTCCATGACCCACTCTGTCCTCTTCTTGTTTCTTAAGATTACACCTATCATTCTTTCTTGCAATCGCTCGCTGCATTGTCCTCAATTTAGGCTGAACCCTCTTCGTAAGCCTTCAGGTTACTGCTCCGTAGGTAAGTACTGGCAAGATAAAGCTGCTTCCTCTTAAGGGTTACTGGCAGACTACCATTCATGATTTCAGAATGCTTCCCGAACGTGATCCACCCCATCCTTATTCTTCTAATTACTTCACTCTCATGATTCAACTCCGCAGTTATTACCTGTCCCTAAGCTGAAATATTCCTTTACAATTTCCAGCGTCTCTCCACCTACCGCAAAGTGCTGTTTTCTGCCCCGCGATTCTCTCTCGATTTGGTGCCGACCGGTTGTGCCCGACGACAGCGTAGCTCTGGCCGACTGGCTCGCCCTACGCCATCTCCTGACGCCGACAAGAGCTCTCGCTGAGTGGTGCCCCGTCCTTGGACTCCTGCGACCGTGTCCATCTTTCCTATTTCCTCCTTATTTCCATATGTGGGTCTCCCTGTCTTTGCACCTATCTTTGTTCATATCTTATCTCTTTTATTGCTTCCTATCCCTTTTAATCCCTCCTTACCCCCTTTCCCTTGGAGCTACTGTTGAGGTGTCGCACCATGATGCTGACAGCTACGGGTCTCATTTTATATCTTCTTTTCTCCCTTTTAGGAATCACAATATTTTCTGCCAAGACCGTTGCCCACTACTTTAGTTTTGTGCATATTATTTTTTAGATCTACTTTTCTGCTTTCCGTGTCCAGTTCTGTAATCATTATTCATCCCCTGAGTTACTCATCAAGGCAATGTCAACAGCGAGTCGCAAGTTACTAAGATACTCTTCGTGAACTCTTATTCCTAACTCTTCCCAATCTAGGGCCCTGAAAACTTCCTGTAACTACGCTGTGAAGAGCATAGGAGAGATCATGTCTCCCTGCCTTACACCCTTCTTCATCGGAATGCTGTCGCTTTCTTTATGGAAAGCTATGGTGGCTGTGGTTCCACTGTAGATTTATTTCAGTATGTTTATGTAATATGTGCACTCCAGACTGACGTGACAAGCTCCAGATCTCCAGATATATCTAATGTTGCATCTAGGACCCTGATTTCATGGCCAACAGCGATGCAAATACCTTAATGGTATATCGTAAACATATACTTCAGGATGTAAATTGCGTATTTTTTTAAGTGACAAGTGCACTTTCACCGAAACAGAAAAAAACGCCTTTTTTTTTTGCTGCTGACAATGTGGCTGTGCCTCGCCCATCAATCTTTTTCCAGTGTGCCTACATTATCAAAATGCCTCAGCTCTATACTGCATGTTATAATCTGTCGTCTATATTCAGGAATAAAAATCCAATTTGGCTGTTATAAATCGTGACACTTCACTAGAGCCCTAATTAGTTCGTAAAAGTAGCCTGAATCACCGTCAATGAGCGATACAGGAATATTTTACGACAAAATTAACACCACCCGCGCACTTCTGCTGGTATTGTCCTTTTCTGCACGTGTACTGTTATGGCTATATACGCGTATGATAGACCTGTAGTGCGACTAGTCGTTCCGGGCAAAAGGCGCACGGTTCTGGACTCTAGGCAGCGTTTCCTTGCTCCTAGTCATCTGTTCAATGCCTTCAAAAGCGCTTCAGCTCTCCTTTTTAGCTTTTTTATGCCACGTGCACGTCGCTTCTTACCACTTATTTGTTTTTATAGAATAGACCGGTTGACAATATCTTTGTTTCATCTGATAATATCTATGATTTAACGTCCCAAAACCAGGATATGGTTATGAGAGACGACGTAGTGAAGGGCTCTGGGAGTTTCGAACACCAGGGGAACTTTAACGCGTATACCCAAACTTAAGTACATTGACCTCGAACATTTCGGCCCCCATCGAAAATGCAGCCGCCACAGCCGGGATTCGATCCCGCGACCTTCGGGTTATCAGTTAAGTGCCATAACCACTAGACTGCCGCGGCGCCTTCATTTCAGCTGTCGTCTATTTCGCGTATACCGCCTTGGGATGCAATAAGAACGTAATGCTGTAGCACTAAATTTAAAACGAAAAACACTAAAAGACAAAGATAAATTAGAAAATTGGGCTCTTTCTCTTCACATTCGAGTTTTGCCTTACGACACCATGTCCTTCTGTAAGAACCGACTCGCCCGAAAAAAAAAACAACTAATTAAGGAACAAAACACGGTAAGAAAGCAACTATGACATAAATAAAACAGATTGGATGGCGGCCACGTTGGTTGTTTTGAGTCACAATTATTGATGCACTGCTAGCTTATGTACCTGGCTCAGTTTATTTAAACAGGTGAAAGATATTGCATATTTTTTCTTCGTTGATTGATTGATTTGTGGGGTTTAACGTCCCAAAACCACCATATGATTATGAGAGACGCCGTAGTGGAGGGCCCCGGAAATTTTGACCACCTGGGGTTCTTTAACGTGCACCCAAATCTGAGTACACGGGCCTACAACATTTCCGCCTCCATCGGAAATGCAGCCGCCACAGCCGGGATTAGATCCCGTGGCCTGCGGGTCAGCAGCCGAGTACCTTAGCCACTAGACCACCGTGGCGGGGCTATTTTTTCTTCGTAACTATTTTTTTAAGTTGACGGGACAATTGGAGATAACCTCTTTTTGATTGCAAGTGCTCTGAAAGTGAAAAATACTGTGACATGCTTCACGCTAGCGTGAAATTCGGCATAGTTTACGTTTCTGCATTTTGCTCCTTTACACACAAAAAAAATGTCACACTTTGTATGCACAAATTACACAAGAGGACGATCTTACAAAAAAACATGGCCATGCGCAAACTTTCAACGGCCTTGATGCTTCGCCACTCTTCAATACATACGCTTTATCATGCATGTGTAAACAAGAGTGGCCAAATTGTCACCGAGCACATAAAATAGCAAGTCACTCAAAAAAGACAAAGGAAAACATCTTACTCACGAATAAAGAAATCGAAGTGTCACAGACGCAAGCGTTGCCTTGCGTCTGTGACAGGCAATGTTAAAAAACGTTGTCTGCATTTCGCTTTCAATATTCGATAGAGAAACAAATTTTAAATGTGAAGCTTTTTTTTTGCGAACCAAATCATTTTGAGTGTTTATACATGTCTATATCTGGCGTCTGGTAGCCTACGTCTAGGTGCTCTCGTGATCGACTGCTTAACTTGCTTTACACTAAAGTTTGCATAGGAGGGCACGAGGGTTTAACGAATACGACTTGCTGCTCGTGACATGAATAACATGAAAATCATGTCGTGTACGTCGTCAAACCTTCTCCTCCAGACGTGTGTCACATATTCCACGAGCCGCGGTTGAAGATATCTGCCACAAGTGATTGACAGTTTACATCTGCCCATGAATGACGAGAACAGACATTGCAAAATTAGATGCGAATGCAATAAAAAAAGGCTTACAGCGGCAGCGTTAACCCGATGAATGCGGAGAATAAGAATCATGGTCCCAGCAGAAGTCAAACCCAAGCATTCTGCGTAGAAGTCGGGTATTCGCACACCAGGCCTTGAAATTGATTTGAAGATAAAACACATTATGAAGGCGTAATGCCGGCTGAATGTCCATTGTATTCGCAGTGCTGGCTATCTAATGTAATAACAAGGCAATAAACATTGGATATGTATACTCCTGTACACAGAGCTCATGTCAGGTTAAGGGCAATAATCGCCCCAGTAGGCGCCGCTTCTATAGCAGTCAGATAAACATTACTTTTGTATTTCCACGATTCAGAAAGATATATATTTAAACGGTGCCCCGCCACGGTGGTCTAGTGGCTAAGGTATTCGGCTGCTGACCCGCAGGTAGTTGAGCTGGTAGAGCGTCAGACGCGTCATTCAAAGGTCACGGGTTCGCGGTCACTGCCCACGACACCTTTTCGTCCACTTTTTTTTCTTTACATTTACATTACATTTAGTTCTAATAATATCCCCTATAGCTTCCCTAGTATTACAGTCTGTTCTCGTTAATATTGTGTCTAACAAAAAAAATCGAGTCCTTAATCGTGCATTTTTGTTCCTTCAAGGGGCCCTGCAACACTTTTTGAGCATGGTCAGAAAATGCTGCCGATTAATAGTAGACGCTCCCGACAACACGTGAGCCAAATATTATAGCGCAGCACGCGGTCTGGAATTCACAATAAATTATGAAAATTAGTTAAAAATTGCTTTCTCTTCTCCCGACAAATCACGCAATAAGCCCAAGAATCACTCGTAGTAAGCCCATCTATTAGCCATTGGCTGATTGGAACATGGCACGCTCGGTCGTTACAGAGATCGCCGCGGGAGGCCGTCACTAGTCCACGCGTGCGCGCGCGATCTACTGAAAAAGCCACGTATTTGAAGGAGAAAAAAAAGAAAAAAACTGCTTAAGGTCACGAGGCACGCGTGACATTTTTTGTTTGCCACTCCCATCCCTCCCTGCTCATCTTCCAGCGCTTTCGTCGGGACGAGAGCAGAGAGAGTGCGATCGCAGCGTGTGACAAATCTTTGTAACTCCGCTGGTACTGGACGGATTCTTAAAATTTCTGCGGCGTTGAATTTGTGAGACAACACGCTTTTCCAGTGAATTAATTCCATAGTTACTGAAAAAAGTGTTTCAGCGCCCTTTAATGGGCATATTGCCGGGTGACGAAAACTAAAATCACATTCAAATGTATGCTTGTCCACGTTTCTCTATCACTGGGTCCTTAAGTGCAATATGCGCGTACCAGTTTATCCTTCAAGCACGAACGCACTCGCCCAGCAGCAAGTGTTGGCGAACGTGACGCTGCAATCGCAAACATTCACATTATTCACGTATATACAGGGCAACCATGTCTTGGTGCTGTTGCTGCGTATGCTGGCTTTGGGAAATGAGGCATGGAAAATGCTGAACACCGAAGTCTACGCCGAGCCAGCGCTGGTGAGTCGAGCATTAAGCCTTTTCATAGAAATCTGATTTGAGATTATTAGATGAGGCTGTGAGCAGCGAGAATACGGGCAGTTTTGGTAGGCCAAAGTTACCGTTACGAAATTCGTGTTTCGTTGACATGAGCGAGAGACTATGTTGGATATACACCGAATAATGTCAGGCAATACTTTTTTTCTGAAACTTCATGTAACACGTTAAAATTTGTTTGCTAAGGCACGTTGCGGGGCTAGTTGATTGGGATTCATCATTTATAAGGGTATACTTAGCGCACCATGACAAGGACACAAAAAGAGACACTAGCGCTGTGTATGTGCGCGTGTCTCTTTTTTTGTGTGTCCTTGTCGTGGTGCGCTATGTATACCCTTACTTATACATGATAAAATTTGTTATTCCAATTTTTATTGGCAGTTTTAATAAGTTTCGTTTTTCATGGTTGATGATAATGTCGAAGGTGGGCCAAATTGCATTTATACTGTAATAAAATAGTTCGCCATCATCATCTTGGAAGCAGTATATAAGGTCTATACCAATATTGATATCGAGCTATTGAAATATAAAAAAAGGTATATGCAGCAAAGTACCGGACACAGCAAGCGAAAACGACAGCCCCAAGAAAGCAAACAGTCTTTGCACAGTTACACTTTATATGACAGAAATATAACCATCCTGAGCAGTATCGCACAGCACGTGTACCGAGTATCCTTAGCATACGCCAACAAGAAAAGGTAAATTTCGAGTCATACATTCACCATATAATGTACACTAAGATTATTTTCTTAGAAAAAAGCTCGAACAGCAAAGAGCTTACGAAGTGGAATTTTTTAGGTGTCTTAAGGCCTTGTAACCTAACACTTAGATCAGGGGTCCTCAAAGGTGGTTCCCCGGTACATAAGGTTCTCAAGGCCCCTCCTCGGGGTTCCACGAGCCGCTGATAAATTTTCCTTGGTTCCGCACTCACCCACTCGACTCACTTAGATGGTGACCCCCAGGAGTGATTCATCTAGGGAACCTCCTTATTGACGCGCGAGCGTCAACAGGCACATCTCATAGCGTAAGAGAAACGCCCGAGCTGCACAATAAATCCCGCCAGCAGTTTGTAGCTGGCCAGAGTCCGAAAACGGGACGCATAGTGGCTTAAATTTTGTGGGCCCTCAATCATCATATTACCACAATGCCCATATCGGTTGTTCGAAGATAGGTGCCGCTAACGTGCGCGGAAAGTCGGAAGGCTGCATGTTGGTGCCTAAACTTCTTATATACCCTTGCATTTGAATTTATTGAAAATGATGAAAAAAAGCTCGCTGGGAGGGGGTTCCTTCGCACTTTATGTAGCTTAGCAGGGTTCCTTGACACTAACATGCTTCAGAGCCGCTGGCTTAGATTGAAGTCGCTGTATGGATAGACCTATTTCACGGGTACAATATTTCTATGCACATGGTTAAAGATTCTCAGTGCCTAATTTTAGTGGTACTTTTGGCTGCAGGACGTGCAGCTGTTCACCAGGTTTATTCCAGCGCTGATGTGCCTCATGATTGATGACCAGGTGAGATTGGTTACTGCTTTAGAGTTGCGCCGCACACAGGCTGCGCAAGATATGCGCATTACATGTTTGCAGCTATGCGTGAGACACATCTACGTTTTACGTAGATGTGTCTCACCTCCCGCACAACCCTGATGCAAACAGCCGATGGTCGACAAATTGGTGCCTTCTGCTCACCAGTCTGCTTGCATACCATGTAGTAGATTAAATGAACGCAAAAGAGGAAAACGATTTTTCTGCTTTTACTAAATTACCTTTTCACAATTCCTGCGCGATCACACACACACACACAAAAAGAGATGCGAATAGCGACGCCATCTTGAAATTCCTGCACCGAGCTCCGTGACGCCCTGAATTTTTGACGGTGTTTACAAGGACCTACGTAGCTCTCAATAAGTGAATGTGAACTTACCAAGTTTCGGGAAATTTCGTCGAGCCCATGTCGGCGAAATGCGACAAACGCACTTTGAAATTCGAAACATCACACGTGCAGGTTTCGGCGCTATGCATAAAAATGGTACTTTGACCTTGGATAATACCTAATAATGAGCGTGTGGTTGTACAATTCACGGCTTTAGAGTCTTCGGAAAACACTATCAATCTAAACCGAATAGGTTCCCTTCAGTGTTCTTTAAATTTTGGCGTACGTCGTAACATTACAGAAACTGATCATTTTTACATGCATGCAGCACACGGTGACATATAAAGTGCTTAAGCAGTAAGTAAGCAAATAGCGTCAAATTTTGTTATATCGAACGCCGCAAATTATAGAATGAAGTATTGCTAATTCTAACTATCAGCTAGCGACCACAATTCATGTGCGAAGAACTTAACAGAAAATCTGCGCTCACTGAAAGCACTCACCGCAGCTGTCAGAAGTGGCCAGAGGACGCGAGCTGATTGAATTACATTTAAAAAAAAACGCGTCACGTTGTGCTTGCAACATCATGTATGGTTCAGACGAGTTATTTGTTATACGTCTGTCTGAACGTGGAGTATACTGTTACACACACAGTTCCAATAAGACTTCACGGCAAACGTACCGCTCCACAGGAACCTGGTCTTGGGTATGAAATTCCATTACCCCAATTCAAATGCCCGATTTGTTGTTTTTTGATTATTTTTCAGATGCGACTTCTGAGTTCCCAGCTGAAAGAGAATGATGAGGGTTCACCCAGCGCAACTGCCGATCCCTCGGAACCCATTCCTGACGCATTCCAAGAGTACGTTAAGGGGAACGCCCTTGCCAGTACGCTGGCATTATTCTACGTTTTACATCTCGGTTAGTATTCACGAGACTATAATAATAAAAATCACCATAAGTATAATAGGTTTCAAAACTTTAAGTACCAAAAAAACGCAGTATTATAATACGTACGCTGTATTTAAGGGAGACAAAATTTCGACCACCTGTAGTACTTTCATCTTCATCTAAGCCCGAGAAATTGGCCTTTAGCGGTCGTCTATGATTTCAGTTTTGAAAGTTCACTGAGGTTCATCATTAATTCTTGGTAACCACCAACTTGCGTTGCTGTTATGTACTTGTGTGTAATCGTGGAAGCTGGCTACTTCAGTCAAGAACGCCTCTTTTTAAACTACTTTTATTAAAAGCATGACCGAATTAGAAAAACTCTTTCTAGGCCAAAGCGTTTTAATGTGTCATGTGTATAACAAATAGCCGAATACAGCTAGTCAAGTACTCCTGTCACAGTGTTATCTTCCGCGTATGTGTTAATGATTATTCTTAAATGCTTCTATACAGTACCCTTAATGCTAGCTGTGCATATGTACACATTTACATCACCAATCAGCTATTTATCTGGCCTCAACAATCTCCGAAGGCCAATTCTAAGACGAACACCTCTTTATTATTCAAGCTGGTAAAATTAGAACGTTCATGCCACTTTGCGAGGGTAAAGTACGTCGTAGTACGTTAAATAATGGTGTCGATAAATTATTTGTTGAACATCAGCTTTTATGAGGTCTTGAATGTTATTCAGCTTTTCACGTTATATGGGCTCAACACTGTATAAAACATTGGTTTTTCGCCGTCTAAGTCAAATGGCAGCAGTTCATTTCCAAGAGCGTATTTATTTAACAATGGGAAGGAAATTGTTGCGCTCTTGGCGTGTGTCATCATTACGTCGTGTGATGCCAGATTGTTCTGCGGTAGTGAATATACGGACATTCACGTGCACTTGTGCCGTTTCTGTTGCCGTCATGTTACATATATGCTCCAAAAAATAACATCTGCCTTCTCCCCCGCGTGTTGTGTTTTGTGTATGCGAGCAAAACCTGCAGACAGGCGCGGCTCGAGCAAAGAGGCACCGAGCAGCTCCGTTGAGAGAAGGAGCGTGAAATGGTGCCGATGTGTGTAGTGAGGAGGCTGCGTCGCTCAGGCAGCAAGAGGGAACTTTGCTCAAAAGGGCACGGCCACACGCACTATATAGGGGCAAATATGTAGGCGACTCACACTCTTGAGCATGCTGTGCTTTCGCCGCTTACATAATTAGTGCTGAAGCGACAAACAGCACCGAAATAACTTCGCTCCCTAGAGTCGCCGTGTTTCCTTACGTCAGTCTTTCGTAGAGTTACGCCAGGTAGAATTCTGACGGTGTGAGCTACCAGGTCAAGTCAAGACCTCCGACAATTTAAAGTCGGAGGTCCTCAAGCGAAAAGATGTCGGAGACACGTTGAGAGATCCCAAAGACCCGTTCAAGAGTATTCGGCATTTTAAAAATGAAAAATATCGCGTAATTTACTGTACATAGGCCAACAGGAGAGCTTATTTTTATTTTTAGTAACCAAAGTAAACACACGCATGTACATGGGTCACATAAATCGTGTACGCACACGCATGAAAACAAACAATTTTATACAAATATAAAATGTAAAAAACATGATTTCAAAGACAGATGGTGCCATTTGAGCACTTGCTATATGTTGAACAACAGATTTCGCACATGTCTCTTTAATTTACGTTAAGGCATTTCGAAGTCGATACCATACGTAAAAACTTGCGCAATATTGTTGGTATCTTGTACTTTAAAAGGCATTTTTCGTAGCGTGTGCGAAAAGGGGAACTGGTCTGGATTGATTTCGGAGAGTGTATTGGCACGAGCCGTCTGTGATGTTATGTTTCGGTCCCTAACCACGAAAACATGTCTAACCACGAAGAAATGTCTCTAACCACGAAAAAACACTAAGACATACCATTGCGTTGAACTCGACTGCGGAGGCCATAAGACGAAACGCTTGCGCGCCTTTACAGCTCGGTCATGGCTGGCCTTGTCTAAACGGGCCCGATCAAACCTAACAGCATACGCACTGCCACGCAGCACGACAGCGTGACCATACAGGCCTGGTGCGGGTGCTGGGCACTCTGGCAGAAACGGAAGGCCGCCGCGCCTACAGGGACCCGTTCCTGCACAGCCTGGTTGGCCACTTGGCAAACATGGCTCACCATTTTGCAAGAGAAGACTTCTGCATGGTCGTATTCGACGACTTCTTCCTCCGCGGACTGAAAAGCAGTGCTCTGAAAGGCGACACACAGAAAAGCAACAGGCATGCCAAAAAGGTAATGATAATTGCTGGTGTTTTGCGCCCAAAACTAGCAAATGGTGATTCGCGAGAGACGGTGTAGTGGACGGCTACGAAAACTTCGACCTCCTGGCATCGTTACCTACGGAACAAGGGGTTAGGCCTGTCATGTGCTGTAATCGTATGCAGTCGTATCTTGGCGTAATGCACGCAGAACTACGTTATAAAAATGGGGGAAAATGCACCTTCCACTGCGCTCCGCGTTCGCTGTCTTTCGTCTTCGTTCGCTCTGCCGGTTTAAACGACGGCGACGCCGCTCGACGTAGGAACGGTCACCTTATAGCTACGCTCTACAAAGCTAAAACAGAGCAAGAAGTAATAGATGTTATAGTACAGCTATTGGGTTGGGAAAAGTTGAGCGGGTAACAGATAGCCGAGCCGAGGCCAGCTGTGTAGCTTTCTATCAGTTTACCTGTGACCTAGCCTTCCGTACTTAGTGCAAGCCACGCTAATTTTTGTATAACTTATATTGGTGCCATTTGAGCACTTGCTATATGTTGAACAACAGATTTCGCACATGTCTCTTGAATTTACGTTCAGGCATTTCGAAGTCGATACCATACGTAAAAACTTGCGCAATATTGTTGGTATCTTTTACTTTAAAAGGCATTTCTCGTAGCGTGTGCGAAAAGGGGAACTGGTCTGGATTGATTTCGGAGAGTGTATCGGCAGGAGCCGTCAGCTGAATCATGATGAAGTTTCTGTTTCTGAATATAAAGTATTAGTCATGTAGAGAGTCCGTCGTATGTACGGCTGACGCAGAAGCCTAACTAATGTTTCAGCCGCACACAGTCGTACCGTGCACGATTAACGTCCACTATGCGTAGCTCGCCTCATTCCAGCTACACGGGTTCCAGCGAATAGGGCAAAAGGCTAGGTCAACAAAACGACACTTTATTGCTAGGCGTTAGCAATAGAGCACGAATGTCGCGAGGAGAAAGTACAGAAACAAGAGTAGACGCTTACTCCTTCGTCGTTGACGTTCTCGGCTCGCAGGGGGTTGCGGGTTCGACCTCCTTCGGTCCTGGCCGGTGTCAGAGAGGGCGTGCGGCCGTCCGCGCGCTAGTTTTGTCCACTGACCCGGTTTCCCTCTCCCTGACGAGAATAATACCTTTTCTCACCGAGGAAAGGGAAACCCGGTCCGCGCGCCGGGAAAGGGGGAATAGCGAGTGCCGGCTGTGGGGGCGTTCTCGCAACTAGGCTTTCGCACTGCCGTAAAAAGGGAAAGGAAGGCTGGGCGCGCGTGCTCCCCCAAAGTTAATACGAGTAAAGGTCACTTGCTCTAGTAAGATCACGATTCACAATGATATGATCAATACGTAGCTCACGAGGAAGCCCATAAGAGTTATCGAATATTTGATTGGTGATGATCGATATGTGAAGTTTAACGCCCCAAAACCACCGTATGATAATAAGAGACGCCGTAGTGGAGGGATTTGGAAATTTCGACCACCTGGGGTTCTTTAACGTGCACCCAAATCTGAGCACACGGGCCTACAGCATTTCCGCCTCCATCGTAAATGCAGCCACCGCAGAGGCACTTGATCCCGCGTCCTGCGGGTCAGCAGCCGAGTACATTAGCCACTAGACCACCGTGGTGGGGCTTTCGAATATTTCAAGAATTGTTTTTTTTTTTCGGAAAACCTCTAGTTCGTGTGAATTCTGTGCAGACGTTTCTGCCCATATACAAGTGCACAGTAAAATAACCAAGAATAAAAATAGGTGTTGTATGTAGCCTTTTTAAGCCTTAATGGGGCAAGGTCCGATAGCTTATGCCTACAGCCTACAGTTTTGCCTAATTCAGGGGCAAGTTTTGATACATGATGCACGACATGTTTTCCTCGAACCATGCCATAATTTTTTGCGTTTTAACACACCCCTGTGTGGCGCCCAGAAAAGAGAACTTCAGTGTAATGCATGAATGAGTAAACAATAAATGCGTACAATATTCCAGTATGTTGCTGTCACATTCATCGTTTCGCCCTTGACATTTCTTCAACCTAAAATTTATTACAATCTCTTGAAATTGATGAAGGCAGAAGGAATCTGAAGCGCGAAGGAGCGGGAGCTTCACCGTAGCTTGTGACCCGATTATCGCTTTACAAACTGAAACGTTGGGGCTAGTATGTAATGCGTGTGGGTTCTTTTGCTCGTAAGTAACAAATGTAAGGTACGCTAGCGCACTACCGGACTGGAAAGGCTCGCGATCGTTCCATCTTACGGCCTTCGCAACGCGTCTGTTTCCATCTCCCACCGCAACAGCATGTTGTCCTTGCGACCCTGCCGCTGCTAGCCGTTGCGTTCGCGACTGTGGTCCACGCAAGAGTAGACAGACACGCAACAGAGCAAAAGTATCGTCAGACCCCAAGGAGCGAGTGAAAATGCCTATAACTACAGCTACAACGAGCGTGTCAAGGCAGCCTATAACTACAGCACGATCGCTGCGCCCCTCACGTTGAGCGCTACTACTACGCTGCCACCCTGACGATCGCGTAGCCAGGATGGAACCACCGACCCAGCTGCCACACCGGGGTTCCACTAGGAGGGAAAGGTTCCTTATAGAGCGTTCAGTAATCGGCTGCTCCTGGCCTGCGGCACGGAATCATCGGCTTGGCAGAGCCTCGTCCCCTGCGTGCACTGCGTGCGGGGCAGATGAAACGATCGAGCACCTGTTGCATGTTTTCGAAGTGATTTATGCGCTACGAGCCGTCTTGTTCGCCGCACTCTGTCGCCAGGGTATTGCCGCGGCTACTCAGAGCGACGTCTTTTTGCCTGCACACCCAGGTCTTAAAGGTGGTTCTATGCTTCTTTGGGGACACTCGACTGGACAACCGGTTACAGAAGCCACTGTTCGCGTCTCCGGTCTCAGACGCCATTTTTCTTCTTTTTCTCTCGTCTACGCATTTTTAATACCCTCACCACCGCTCCTTACCGGCGCTGAGCCGTGCCCATAACTAGAGCTGCAGAAGTCGCGTCTTTTTTGTTCCTCAACCTCTCTCGCACGAGCGCGCTGAGAAATGTCTCTTACCGCGAAAAAACACCAAGACATACCATTGCGTTGAACTCGGAGGCCATAAAACGAAACGCTTGTGCGCCTTTACAGCTCGGTCGTGGCTGGCCTTGCCTAAATGGGCCCGATCAAACCTAACAGCATACGCACTGCCACGCAGCACGACAGCGTGACCATACAGGCCTGGTGCGGGTGCTGGGCACTCTGGCAGAGACGGAAGGCCGCCGCGCCTACAAGGACCCGTTCCTGCACAGCCTGGTTGGCCACTTCGCAAACATGGCTCACCATTTTGCAAGAGAAGACTTCTGCATGGTCGTATTCGACGACTTCTTCCTCCGCGGACTGAGGAGCAGTGCTCTGAAAGTCGACACACAGAAAAGCAACAGGCATGCCAAAGAGGTAATGATAATTGCTGGTGTTTTGCGCCCAAAACTAGCAAATGGTGATTCGCGAGAGACGGTGTAGTGGACGGCTACGAAAACTTCGACCTCCTGGCATCGTTAACTACGGAACAAGGGGTTAGGCCTGTCATGTGCTGTAATCGTATGCAGTCGTATCTTGGCGTAATGCACGCAGAACTACGTTATAAAAATGGGGAAAATGCATCTTCCACTGCGCTCCGCGTTCGCTGTCTTTCGTCTTCGTTCACTCTGCCGGTTTAAACGACGGCGACGCCGCTCGACTAGGAACGGTCACCTTATAGCTACGCTCTACAAAGCTAAAAGAGAGCAAGAAGTAATAGATGTTATAGTACAGCAATTGGGTTGGGAAAAGTTGAGCGGGTAAAAGATAGCCGAGCCGAGGCCAGCTGTGTAGCTTTCCATCAGTTTACCTGTGACCTAGCCTTCCGTACTTAGTGCAAGCCACGCTAATTTTTGTATAACTTATATTGGTGCTTGCTTCGGCGAGTTGATAGCTATTCATCATTACGTTATTGTGCACTACTTAAAAGTCTCGTCCTTCATCTCAAAGAAGTTCGTCTTTTACGCAGTGCGCGGTATGTAGATACAATTTTTGTAGCGTAAGCAGTTTAAGCCGAGGTTGAGCAGTTTCGCGTGGCTTACGGTGAGCAGTTCGGCGCAAGTGCCAGGAGTAGTGACATCACATGGCGCACAGCTGGCGCGCCGAAGGCCTGGAAGCTCCTGGAGTGACTTGTCACTAGTGGGCTGGAGCTTGACACACGTGAGATCACTCACTACTCCGTTCGTACATCCATCCGTCCGTTCGTCCGTGGTTCGTTCGTTCGTCACCTTTCCAGCCAACCGTAGCTCACGCTACGTACATCCTGGCATAGCCGAGCTGGGTCACTGCTATATTTTTTTTCTCAATGTCTTCTCAGCCGATGTATTGATCATTGCCCGCACCACACCCAAAGCTCTCTGAATCTAAGGTGGTTTTTTTCACAGCCTCCGGTATTGGAGACATCCAAAGCTTTCTGCAATTCACTTGATTTTTGCACTGCCTCTGAGATCTACACACCTCTGATCAAGCAACAATGTCATGTGATGCGAGGACGTCATCCTGTGACGTCACGCTATGTGATAAAACAGACGTCCATATGACATGACGATAGTTATAGCGCAAGAACAAAACGATGACACAGAGACAAGAAGGACACGAAGGACACGTGTCCTTCTTGTCTCTGTGTCGTCGTTTTGTCCTCGCGCTATAACTATCGTCATGCCATACCAACTAGCCCAAGCTGCCACACTTCTAAGTCCATATGACGTCACGAATTTCCGCCACATATGAAATCATTTTTTTTGCTTTTTTTTGCCTTGCTCGTGTTGGTGCCGGCGTTGATGCCGATTTCTCAGTTTGAGGATGCATATGAGACTTTCGCGTAAATGTGCGACATATTAACTGCTTCATATACCAAGGCATACTTCAGAAATGAAAAGCAAGTTATTGAGTTGCATTCAAAAACTAGACTTTTTCGCCCAATGTGAATTTTATTTATAACACTGCTTTCCGAACACCGCTTTCTTTTTTTTACAGATGACTAAGACCCCAGCAAGACATTTGATGCGCCTATTATGGCAAGTGCATGGTAGCCTGCCCCCGGCAAGGTTGAACAACCTAATGAACAAACTCCAACCCTTTGCTGAGGTGAGTCGGCCTTTCACCGGTGTTCCTTGCAACGCCGAAATGCCCCGGTAAGCAACGTGTTTCTCTTCATATGAAGGAACCTCGAGGTGACCTTAATGCCATATTTAAATGTCTTTATTGACACAAGTACCGAGAGCATGGTTCTTAACATCGCTGGCTTGTGCCCGCATCTCCAGAGCGAATATGAGCCACACATGACGGCTTGATTAATTAATTGGCAATCACTTTATCAGTGTATTTTTTACGTGTGCTTCGTTCTCGAATATACGACGCCGTAAATAACTTTAAGAAGGATACAACTGACGAGCATGTCACGTTATTGAGGTCAGAACCTACTAGTCATACACTGAGAAAGATGGTTCAAGCTCGACTTTAAGAGCTCCGCTCTAGAAGTCCGTTTCTACCAGGCAAGAAAATCGTTCAATTTTCGTGACGAAAGGTCTTACAAGATCAACAAAACAGCCGACTTTGGTTGCATGGCTGAGCACTGCCGCCACCACCACCGATATCCGTAAACACTAACGAGTGCAGTGAGAAGAAAACATCAAGGATCTAGCCGGGTTTGAACGTAATAAATGCACGCTATAGTTGCATTGAATTATGGACGGATAAACTATTTTGTTTCAGGTTATTGAAGAACTAAAAGCACCCTTCCAGGCCTTGGAAAATAAAATAGACCACGGGAACCTGCAAGCAGCAGCCCCTAGTTCAGCAGACATCCCACTGCCACGTTCGCCAGCGATGGTACCAATGTGATTACAGTCTCCACCTTTGAAATCGGCTAATCTTATTTGGTAAGTTAGCACTTGGATACATCAGCACCCTAACCCTAATTTCTTGCAGGTGCCTATTGGCGCTGTGGTATCGGTTGAATCACTAGTCGTCTTGTGTACGCTGGTAAAGACCATAGAGTTACACAGCAGTTCAGTACATGGAAATCTGGCGTTAATTTCTGTGTAAGCTTCAACGCACGGAGCTTCAGCCAGCGTGGGAGTGATGGGTAGTACATATTTATTTGAATCAACGTCGTTCTTTCAGCTCCGTGTGGCCTATAGCTAATATAGCTAACAAAAGGTCTGAAATCGCATTTTACCACATTTATTGGCGGCCAATTGAAATCGGCTCACAAGGTTCCCAACATGTCATTCTTTTTTTCTGAAATGAAAGCCAAAACAACAATAAACAAAGCCATATGTGCGTTTGAAGCCACAAGCGTGAAGACTAGGAAAATTCATGTACTATATACTCATGCTTTCCACCAAAGTTCCAACCCTGTTAAATGTCGGTCGCACATACATCGTCGCACGGTGATTGTAAACAAGAACATCTTCAGGCGTCTGTGATTCATAGGAGGAGTCAGCGATACGCCAATAATTGGACGATATTCCCAGACGACTTAAGTGCAGATTAATACACGCATGGACTTGCACATATTAAAATGCATATAGCGCGTGCTCGCGTACTTGTATGTAGTCGTGCTCAGTACGACTTGTAAGTTGCAACGCAGGGAGGCGTGGCCTTACACGCTCCAAAAGCACTAAATGATGTTGGAACTTATTCCAAACTAGAAAGCTTTAATGAGCAAAATTTAAATGTGGAAATGAAAATAGGTTGAAGTGATGAGCAATTCTTCAGCATGCGAGGCCACGTGCTCACGTGTTGCAAGTTATACTGACCACGACTGTAGATTACAAGTCTATGTGGGTCACAGGGTATATATACCTGAGCCGCGGCCGCTGGATAAAAAGAACCAGCCGCGGCCGCTGGATAAATACTATGTAGCGGCCATGCCTGAACTGAAGTTGCGCAGCCAAATGAAATCCCCACAGAAAGCGCTCGAGTTACATGCATCTGGTAGGAAAGAACAGTGTTGTTCGTTCTTAGGTTGAACACGGCTCAGCGTGGCCGCGTTCTGCGGAGCGCCATTACATCCGGCGCGGCCACGCATCGAATCCAAGGAGCGCAAGCCACGGCCGGGCTATAGACTGCACCTGCGCGCGCTTCTTTCGCGAGCGCAGGTGCAGACTAGTCCGGCAGTGCAGGCGCACACCCCGCGCATGCCCCGCTACAGTTTCACGCACGGTCATGCGGGGAGTGCTGCCACGTTGCACGATGGTCATCCTAAATGTGGACGGCAGTCGAAAAATCTGTCCAGGATTGTAAGTCTGACGCAGTCCTTCGAATCCTGGACATAGATGATGTCTGCCTGCACGCCTGTGTACAGTCAGTTGAATTAGGATTAAGGCTATTTCGGGTGAGGCAGCTATACCTCCACTGAGCTGAACTACCACAACACGCACTTTCGCTGTGCGCCATGCTGCGTGTTCCGATAAATAGGGAGAGCTTTCATGTTAATCAATCCAGACAGGCTGTCTCTTGATGAGCGTATTGCGCACACTTTGAAGAACACCACTTCCGTTCTATTTCTCTTTTTTTTGTAGCGTAACGTACACTGGTCGAAGTTGAGCAGTTTCGCGTGGCTCGTCGAGAGCAGTTCTGCACATGCCCGAGGAGCAGTGATGATAACACACAGCTCACAGCTGGCGCGCCTGAGAAGACCTGGAAGCTCCTGATGTGACGTGTCACTTGTGGGCTGGCACTTGATTCGCGTGAGCCCACTCACTAGTTCGTCCATCCGTTTGTCCATATATAGCTCACGCTACGTATATACTGACACAGCCGAGATAAACCTCTCCTGACGTTTTCGCCGTTTACCTATTCATTCTGTGCATGGTCTCTTGCACAGAGGAAACCCCTTGGCACACCTCTCTTTCTCTGTAGATCCTTCCCGCAGAGATCGCTGTCGATGTTTTCCAAACAGGGAATTAAATCAACTCCGAAGATGCTGCCCTTCGTATTACATAAATATTGTCTCGAGCTGAATTATCGATTAACCGGCTAAATCACCATCATATTATGTACAGCGGCGTCTGAACGCTTCTGTAAACAGCTTTCACTAGTCTAGGATTCTATTTCGGCCCACCATATAGCAACCGCGCTGAGCTTGACGAGTGGCGTGAATTTCAGCCACGGCTGTGGTCTTTCGTTTGTGAGCAAGTTCACTCACGGAGTTCAATACAGTTCAATTTATTTTCCAGTATACACATGCTGAATGGTTGTGTTGGGGTAAAACCTACATTTGTATTTTGACGAGACCCCAATTTCGGGCACAGGCTCCACCGCCATCTTATTTGAAACGTCACTTGCGCGGAAGGGAACTTCTTTGTAATACTCAGAAAGTGTTTATTCTTAAACATCACTAATTAGAGCTATAATATTGCCACATAGAATATGCAGCACCAAGAGAACAACGAAGAACACGCGCAGCGAGAGATCACGAGGTTCTCTTCCGATCAGTTTGCCAGTGTTCTGGTGAAATTAAAGTGAGTTTCCTGGATTCGACTGCTGCTGTTTCTGCATTGTGACACTGGTGGAGGCGCTGGGTACGTGTTCAGGACGCCTGACAACAGCCCCGCATCTGGTCAAGAAAGACTTCCGCGCATCGACACCCCCGTTCACCGCAGCAGCCGGCGCCTGTTAGGCCTCAGCCCGGAATTAGGCCTCAGCCCGGAGTTTGGTCCATTGCCGGAAAGCGTGGCTGTGCCAGAAAGCATGACGGCGTCTGGAAGCACTGGCCCCCACATGTCCAGCCCAAGCACGACACAAGTGACTGTTGTGAACCTTCGACTTCCGGTTGACTTCCATGGAAACGCATATGAGGATGCGCATGACTGGCTCGAGGAATTCGAGCACACAGCGAATGTTAACGGTTGGAACACCACACAGAAATTGGGCTACGTTTATTTTCCGCTTCAAGACGGAGCCCAAACGTGGTTCACGAATCGCGTGTGGTCGTCTTGGGACGAGTTCCGGCAGAAGTTCCTCGACACGTTCGCGAGCACTGAAAGACGAGAAATCGCACAGCGTCTCCTCGAGTCACGGATTCAGAAACCAATTGAATCCGTTACGATGTTTGTTGAGGACATGACGCGGCTATTTCGTCGAGCAGATCCTAATATGCCCGAAGCCAAAAAGGTTAGCCACCTCATGCGGGGCATTAAGGAGCAGCTGTTCGCTGGTCTCGTACGAAACCCGCCTACAAGTGTGGATGAATTCTCCAAGGAGGCGACATCTATCGAACGCGCACTGCATCTACGTTATCGTCAGTATGACCGCCCAACCCACAGTGCACCGATCAGCGTGGCAGCCACTACCACAGCAACAACACCCGACGAAGGTTCTTTGCGCCAACTAATACGAGAAATCGTACAAGAAGAGGTCAAGAAACTCGTCGCCAAACCGAATGACTGCGCGATCGCCTCAGTAACGGAAGTTGTACGCCAGGAGATCAGGCAAGCGCTCTCGCTTGCTGAGCCGAACACGAGCACTCCAGGGCAAGCTATGCAGACGTAGTCCGCCGACAGCCAGCGAACGTGCCGACACCACATCAGTACCACCAGCAACATCAGCCGACAGCGCCTTGGTACTACAGAGAAACTTCGATGCTGAGGCGGCCACCACTTCGCAAAACTGACATCTGGCGTACCCCTGATCATAGGCCCCTGTGCTTTCACTGTGGCGAAGCAGGCCACATCGTTCGGTATTGCCCGTATCGCGCCGCAGGGTACCAAGGGTTTCCTTCTACGGTTCCTCGGCGCCATTTCAACGGAACACCTGACGTCGGCACGAGTGTCATGACCCCGCGGGATGTTCCTCCTGGGTTTCGGTCACGCTCACCCTCTCCTGGGCGTTATTCTTGCCCCTCTAGACGGAGCACCACTGACATGCCAAGAGGGAGATCTCCTAGTCCACGCCGGGGAAACTAAAAGCAGCGACCTCAGGGGGGAAGGTTGCGAATCGTCGAAGTGCTGAAAATCCCTCATTACTGCCGAGCGAAGAGAGACACATTTTCAATGAATCGACGAAAGATGGGGTTGTTACTGCCGAAGTTGTAATTACGATTGACGTACATGAAGTCATGGCATTGGTCGACACTGGCGCGGACTTCTCAATAATGAGTGAGAGTCTGGCAGACACGCTCAGGAAGGTTAGAATGGAATGGACAGGACCGCAGATTAGAGGAGCTGGAGGGCAGCTACTCACACCAACCGGAAAGTGCACCGCAAGAATGAAGATAGGGGATGCATCCTTCCTCGCAACTTTTGTTATCCTTTCTGAGTGTTGCAAACAGGCAATCATGGGGATGGATTTCTTGCGTGAATATGGTGCCATCATCAATATTCCGGAAGGTGTAGTGACCTTTTCAGCGGATTAAAGCGCAGCGCTACACCGAAAATTTCTACGAGTCATTGACGATGTGACCGTACCTCCGTTATCGTGCCGCCTTGTTTCAGTCACGTGCAGCGAGCAGAATACTGGAGAAGGAATCGCTGAACAAGTATTGACGCTCCTACTCTCTCGCGGTGTTGCAATTGCCAGAAGTATCGTCAATGTTGTGTGCGGTGAAGCAGAGGTTTTGTTGATGAATTTTACCAACGAGCGACGACACATTACACAAGGCACTACAGTTGCCTACTTCGACGAGATCACCGAAATTCGCGAGTGCTGTGTAGTACAACAGGACGAGCCGCAAGCCACATCAGCCCCACCACCTATTGACGTAAGCTCGGATTTGTCACCAGCGCAGAGCCAGCGTCTAGTAGATCTTCTTCACCAGTTCAAAGACTGTTTTTCATCGACATAGAGGGTCAATCAAACGCCACTGACGAAGCATCGGATAAAAACAGAGGAGACGGCAAGGCCAATACGACAGAACCCATACCGCGTA